TTTGAATCGTTTAACATAGCTAAGCGAGCAAATAATCAAGATTTCATGCGTATGTGTCACTTTCCGTGATATCTGTTATGCACCTCTTGTGACCTGGTTTCTCCTCGAAAGATTGGATATCAAAATATACATTTATACACCATTCGATAGAGAATTTCAAGAGCTATATTTTGCACTATTTATATTTGAAAAACGAGAAATTTCGATTTTTCGCCAAATTTCCGCTTGGATGCCCACTGTGCAGACTAAGATTCGAACCCAGGACCTTGACCTTCCGTGTCTATGCTCTAACCACTGAGCTACCTGGTCGACATCTCTATCCGTCACAGGTAGTGTTTTCATAAAAGAAAGTATAACTAAACCAGCGGTCTGAGTTTTATTTTCAATTTCAACGTTTCGACTTATTTAAGAATTATTATCAAAGATATATAAAAATTCATTTCTTTTTTCGGTTCAGGGTTTGCGCTTTGGCTAGAAACTGATTCGCAAAAAGCGCGATTTTTAGCAAACGTCTTCTCCGGAAATGCTCTGTTTTATTTTAACGAAACATGTTACAAAAATTTTGAGACGACGATAGAGCTCTAAAAGTTGTCCATGTAGCATAATTTTCAAGGTTACAACATTTAAGGTTATCCGGTGGGAAATTTTATAAAATATGCCCTAAAGCGGGTTTTTTGTGTATTTTTATAATGGGTGTATAATAGTCAAAAAAGGCTGAAATATCAACTTACTTATAACCAAAACATAACTCATTCCAAGGACTTCTTAAGAGCTTCCCTCAGAAAAAAACTTTTTTGTCTTACATCCGATTTTGCTCAAACTCTCAGCAAATGTTTGCCGTATCAAAGTGTGGTTATGAAATTCTTTTTACGTCGCTATCTCTTACCGTTTCGGGGTTTTCCAGAGCTCAAGGTCAAAAACCCACCCTCCACTATGGAACCCTTTTTTAAATATACTTTAAGCTAGAGATCTCAGGTTGGTTTTATTTTAAACTAGACATCTAACTGCATGAGGTGATGCGACCAGATTTTTGATTTAGGCCTTCGTTGATTTTCTAGAGATCCAAGAACTGAAAAACCGGAAAAACCCTTACGGGTTTTGCAGAGATTCTTGATTTTCTAGAAAACTAAGGCCTAATTCAAAAATCGGCTCCTATCAAGCTTTACGAATTTTATCGGTTTTATCATATTTTGACCGATAATACTGATAACGATTATCGGTAAGATGCAATTATCGTTACCGTTGCATGCCTAGCCCATACAAAGGAAAAACTGCAATACTAAAGTTTTTTTATTCTAGGATAAAATAGTTTTCAACTTTCTAAGTCGAAATCACACCAGCGTAGTTTACTGTACAAGAAACTACAATTTTGTTTGTGCTAAACCATACTCAGCATAGGTTGTATTTATCTATAAATCAATGTCACTTAACAACGAAGCTATCAGCAGATGCATGTCTAGGTTATGAATATAAGCTAAAGTCGGTTGTTTAACATATCGTTCATTGCGGAATACAGTAGTGACTGTTGATACGAAAGTTTCAAATCGCCAAGTTCTCTTTCGAGATACATAACAGTCGTACTTGTCTTTCATTTAAATGAACGATTTGCGCTCCGTGAACATCAACTTTATTAGACATGGTGTTTAATGATAAGGAAAAATTCTTGCTTGCAATTTTTTAATTTCAACTGCGTTCCTTGTACCCAAACCGGGTGCAGCTCCTGCTGTAAGGAGAGCAGCACCGCCTAAAGTAAATCGTTTATGCTTTCGCCGACATTGAGGAATCATAGCTGCTGCTTTAGCACGTACCAAATAACATCCGTGATGAGTAATTGGAATCATAACACTAACATTCACTATATCATCGGCCGATGAGAATTCTCCTTTATAAATAAGAAACGTTGCTGATTTTGGATAGCTGATAACCGTCAAATTTGATAGATCTATTACATAAACAACGATAATTAATTTGATTAAAAGGAATATGAGTGTACTTCGACGAATCACGTTTGTTTGATGTAATAAACCTTGTACTAAATTATTGGAACAAAACGTATCTAACTGGAACAATGATTATTTATCATTAATATTAGAAAACTGTAATACTTTGCGAAGCATGATGTTGTATATATAATTTTCACAAAAGTCACAGAATTTTAGAAATATTGAAGTACACTATATATTCTGTGGCATATTGAAACAAATAAATTTATTAAAAAGTTTTTTCGTTTTCTCACGTTAGAGAAAGGATAATTAGGTAAAAAATCTCTCTTAGATCAAAATTTCTATTAGATCAACAAAAAGTTTGATTACGTTGTTGTCACTGGCCATCTAGTCGATGATGTTGACCGACAAATCCATGTTTTATCTGTCCATTTTCAGCTACCGCCCTCTCTCAAATTCTCTACATATGTTTGCCCTGAGACGCTCTTTAATAGAATTTTACATCAGTTTTATGCTTCTAGTTAAAATAGTTTCCTCTAAAATGCAGTTAAATTTTTTTATCTATCCCCTAGGTCAAGAACTCTCCATGAGAGAGAAATATCGACCTATAAAAAAATGAAACTGCTTATCGTGACGCCATAAGTGTGTGCGTTTCTACTCAACCATCCTTCCGCTATTTTCACGGAAATGTAAACTGATGTAAGAAATCTCCGAAACGGGCGTTTGGTTTTGCTTCACACTACTACACTATATTTCTCTTCTCACAAGTGTTTTATGATAAAAATAGGAGCTTTTAAATATGCGTTAAATATTTTAAGGGTGCAACTCTTCTTCAAGGAGAGCGTTTTTCGGCAATCCCACAGGTTAGTCGAGCAATAGACAGTAAATGAGAGAAGGAAGTGAGAAAAAAGATCATCATTAATGGCTATACGGACACCGAAGAGAAGGAACCTCTTTCGTTGTTTGTCTTTGTTTTTGTGTCAGAAATGAACGAGGAATGTGAGGCATATGCAGGATACAAAAACAAAGAAGATATATCTTATTTGATACGGCTCTACTAAGATATGGTGGATGGTAGGAGAGAAAAGAAATACAGATTGTTTTATATATATGAGTACAGGAAAAGCGGTTCCTTCTTCTTGACGGCGTATGAGAGGATGATTCTCTACTTTTTATATTTTGGGAAACATATATACTATAGCTTCGATAAAACTGTGTTATCGTGGCTGGTAGGAGAGAAAAGAAATACAGAAAGTCGGCGAACGAATATAAAAAGTAGTGAATCATCGTCTCATACGCCGTCATGAACAAGGAACCGCTTTTTCTGTACTCATACGTATAAAACAGAAAGATGTTCTCTCTCTTCGTATGTTCAATTGATTAATGTACATCTATCTAATAAGAGAAAGACTAAAAAAATATTAACGTCATGGCGTACACATACTTGTCCGGTTCATTCACTACTAGAATTCACTACTACTTCGTTCTTGCTGTTTTTTGTGTATTTTTCCGGCCGAATAACCCAGCCAACACATGTGATAAATCCAGCAATGGTATGTATCTCACTTTCTTTTCTAATAGTAGTACAGGCAATCGCCGCTAAGATAATGCCCTATTGCATGTGACCTTAAAATTACAGTAAATTCTATATTTAATCGTGGTTAAAGTAGTTAAAATATGCGCGCACTCTCTAAAAAAAATCCGTAGCTTACAGAACGAATATCGGTTTTGGGGGTTTGGGGGTTTATAAAAAGCTATTCGGGTTGGTGGGGGGGGGGGTGGGGGGGGGTGGGGTGGGGGGGGGGGGGGGTTTGGGGGGGGTGGGTG